CTTCCTCACTTTCTGTGTTGTCTCAGCCATTTCCTTTACTTTCTCCGCATCCTGCTTCATTACTTGGATCAAGTCCATTATTTGCGTTTGTTGAGCAGTGATGCTTGTTGTTACAACTGCAAGCTGCTTTTGCTGCACTGTTATATTCGCTGTTACCACCGACATCTGCTCTTTAAAGACATTGAGCTGTTCCAGTAGAGGGCGCATGACCTCAGCCATCGCCTTGGTCGTCTCACTGGTCGTTTCCGGTCTCGGGGACTCTGGTTTCATTTTAAAAAGTTTATCTTTGTCTCTGTCCCTCTTCCCCGCCATCTTTTCCCTGTTTGTTTACTTTCACGAAAACTTTTTAAAGTCTCTGAATATGCGCTTAACTGTATAGCTCGATTGGGTGAGTACTTCTGGGCAATCACACGTTTATTCTTCCGCTCCCCCCTCCCTTTCACTCAGTGATTTACGCATGGGAGGTGTCCCTCCCCCGTTCGCTTCTGCCGTTCCGCTGGGTCGGGTAGGGAGGATCTTTTCTTTTAAAAATCTTATCTCAGTTGACTCACGTTCATAGTTGGTCTTCCGACCCCGCTACATTAATCATTTCTGATGCCCGATCTCCTACGCTTGACCCAGCTAGCTTCACTTGTACCATTCGGTCTCTCGGCTGGATGAACCACTGGAGCAAGGGGGAGCCTCGATTCTCTGGCATTCAGCCATTGAAGAGGCTACCCCCTCAAAGCTCCTTGGCCAGGGACCCTTCGCCGGGCCCCTGGGGGGGGGTAACGAGCCTGCTCACTCCCTCCCTCCGCCAGAGCACGGAGACACCCCCAGGAGGTCCGGGAGGTGAGTCCGTGAGCATGCCGCCATCAACCGGAAGAGCTTACCGTGGGTCCTTGTTTGGTTTTGTGAGTTAACCGTAAGCACGCAAACACAAGAAACAACACAGATTTTTCACGGAGTGCGTTTCATAATCCCTAAGAATCCTGGTTTGTGTTACCATATTGGAGAATCATGGTAGCAACCTGAAACAGCAATTTTTGTGTATAATTTTTGGCTCAGAAATTTCAGTATGCACACTTCTATTCCATAGCATCGCTCTTGGAACTTCTGATAGGCTAAGGAAATGTAGGGCATCTGCATAGTAGTCTATTTTAACAAGCAGAGATTCATCTATGCCATTTCATAAACTGTGAATACCTCAGATGTGGGACACCAGTTCAGGACTTCAATACAGTCATGAAAAACATACCACGATTGAGATAGCTGTTCACATATTTTACCAAGATACCACTTTATAGTCAGTGTAACACTTGCTTCTGCTGTGACCAGTGTTCCCTAGCGTAGAACTTAACTAGTAAAGAGAAGATCCTGGTAAGAAAGGACTTTCCTGCGAGGTGCTAGGAAGCAGGTTCCTTTTTAAGAAAACCATTTGTTAACAACAAAAAACAGATTCAAGCCATTGCTTGCATCAAAGTGCCTTAGCAAGAACCAAGGTATAAAAAAAGGTATAAAAAAAGCAAGAACCAGGCTGGCTAAGGGTAGACTGTGATCTGTTTCTCATAGTGAAGTTCAAGGTTACCGTCCATTTCATTTCCTCAGCAGAAAATAACATGGTACAAGGAGTGGAGTTCTCAAGCCAGTGAGACAGTTGTGGCATATACACAGAAGGCTGGAATCAGCAGATGACAGTGAAAAATAAGATTAGCAGAAAGGAGCAGCATTCTGAATGTTGCAGGATTTGCAACAGTTGATGCTTTTAATAACATGCAGTTAAGGGCCTAACTAAATGTTACATTATCCTCACAACCTCCTTAGGTCAACTACAAGGCCTGTGAGTTAGATGAGCCTTGTGAGTTTCATTCTCAGGAGCATGGGGACCCAATTTGGATGGGGACACCTCCTCCATTTTCCCAACCTGAAAGTAGCTCTGAGAAGCTGTTATTTGACTTCATAGTAATAGAAAATTAGGAATATTTTGCTATTATTCAGATAAAGCTAATTAAAAGTTGTCCCAATAAAAATGTTATCCAACAGCCGACAAAATCTGGCAGGAATCTGCAGCATATCTAAAATATAAAACTCTCCCTCCTTTCCATATCTCAGGTTGAGTTCAGACGGGAAGTTTGAAGCGGGAGGGAGTCGTGGCAAAAAAGAGATGGAACAAACTGTTCCGGGTTTTCCTATTCACACTGCAGTGACTGATGCGGGAGCATGCCGGGAGGAGGCGCAAGGGAGCATTCACACTGTTGGCCCAGAGGCATGGCTATAAGGTGCAGCTTTCTGTGCTTATGCACATATGTGCATAAGAAAAACGTGGCTTTTGGTGTTAACACTTTGTTGGTGCAGGATGGAGATGGGATAATCGTGCTTTCCAGGGATTGCTACCACTTTCACCAGGTATCTTTTAAACTCGGGAGCGAAGCGTTACAAGACAGGTTGAGTACGCCTGACAGATGTGCCTGACAGAGTACGCCTGACAGATGTGCCTGTGTGAATGGCCCTTTTAATCCGGTTGTGAACGTTCCTCACACGCGCCTATATCGGGGCAAACTGCCTGTCTGAACTCGGCCTCAGTGTGAAACAGATGAGAAAGGTACGCATGCTATGAAGGTATGACAGATGCAAAGCTTGCTATAACTTTCTCTCTCTCCTTCCTACCCAATCATTCCCTTACCCTATAGGTCTGATCATCCATGAAGGGCCCTCAGTTTATCGGATTTTTAAACGATGGCAAGCAGTCAATCAACAGTGGAAAGTGCTGAACTATGACAAAACAAAGGACCTGGAGGATCAAAAAACAGGGTCCAGGACCAACCAACGAACCTCCTCTCAGAACAACCATTCATCCTCCACTGATGGTGCAGCTAGCAACTTCACTCCAGCCGACAGCATGGCCTGGGCAGCTAGTCACCCCACGGGCACCTTGTCTGACCACCACTGTGCTTATACCATCTTGCATATACTCAGCCATCTGAGGCCTCATGAACAGAGAAGTCACTCAAACTCAAACAGAGAGCTCGTGATGAGAGTCACCACAGTATGAGCGAAGGAATTCAGGAGGCCTTAATGCAACGCAGACGGGGAGAAAGACGCAAGAGATGGGGGGCACAGTATGCCTTCTCCACTCCCTCCCTGGTCCTTTGCAGCTGGCACAAGGAGCGCAAGAGGCCCTTGGCCAACCAAGGATGCTAGAGGCAGCTGAAACAAACAGGAGAAAGTTTTACTGTCATTAAAAATTACAACAAACAAGTGCAATACAGACTAAACAAACTGAAGTCGGGCAGAGGCTTGAGGGGGCACAGGGGAGTTAAAGCTGGTCTTATTACAGGGAAAGGGGTAATATTTTAAACGCACGCACATTGAAAAAAGTAGGAAGGAAAGGAAGGAAGACTGGAGTATTTTTCAAATTGTGTTAACCAGGGGTTCAACTATTTGAATGCATAAATCATTCTGTGGCCATCTGCGACAGGGCGTTCAAGCTGAAATGGCAGCCATTGCATTGCTATGGTTCTTTTCTACCATGCAACATGCAAAAACTCCTGATTGACATCCATTAAGAGGTTTTCAGGATGTGTGCCACTGGGAGGGGGAGTGTGACCCTTATTGAAGCTGTACAAGCATTCAAAGCACAAGTCACGGGTGGGTGATTTATGCCCTTCCTCTCTTCAGGTTTCAGCAACTTGTATTATCTAATTAATAAACACTGTATTTGATTTGAAGGGGGGGGTTGAAAATGGAATTGCCAGCTTTTAATTTCCTGCTTGGGCTCTCCAACTCGTTCTCCAAAGCCAGTTCATTTCCTTCTGTATCAGTGATTTGTTAGAGATCCATATGATATTTTGTTTATTTATTTATTTTTCTATCTGTCTAACTGCTCATTGCTTTGTAGGAAGGCATGTTGTTTTACCAAAAAAGTATTCTCCATTCACTCATTAAGCTAAGGAGTTTGTGTTTAAGTAAGAATGGAGTCTCAAGTCATGCTACAGACTTGAATTAGTTTAATCATAAAGAATTCTGGGAAGATCTCTTATCAGAATTTTTAGCACCCTCACCAAACTGCACCTCCTACCATTCTTTAGGGGTAGCTTTGATAGTTACACTGTTTAAAATTGATATATGTATTTATAATGTACCCCTGAATACCTTTCTTTCTATGCTCATAACTTCCAGAGTTGCCACTAAAAAAACCTGCAGTATCCCTGGTCATGCTTGGAATATAATGTGCAGTGAATTCTCATTAGTTTTGATTTTTTTTTACAAGTTGTCATTTTCACAGATTTTTGTGTGTTGAAGCAGACTCATGAATGAGTTGGCATGTGACTCACTACAAGTATGAAAACTGGGTTGAATCAGGGCAATTCGGGCATATGCCAACTCATTCACAAGACTAATTCAGCACCCAAATTCACAGAATCTACTTGATTTTAACTTGTAAAAAATGGTCATAAATGTAGGCCCATTTCAGGCACTGCAAGAGCCATTCACACACCATTCACCAGGCAGAACTTGTAAAAATATCCATGATCATTTGTGAAATTTTCTCAAGAGAATGACAGAATTTTTTTTCCAGAAAGTTCAGCACAAAAGATTCCCTCATTGCTCAGTGTCCCAGTCAATTTCAAAGGCTTTTGCTGTGATATGAACATTGTCAGAAAGTTCAAATGGGCCATAGGAGAGAGACAGAATACAAGACTAGATGGGAGCCTTGCTATGATCTGGAACAGACATTCTTACATTTCACACACACACACACACACACGGTGGTATTTATGCCACTATTGGGAAATCCGTTACAGCATTGGCTTTAGACTCCATGCATATCAGTTCCACAAGAGTTCTCCCAGCCAGACATGAGCCTATAGGGATGGTCAATCTAGCATGAACTGTTGTCGCTTTTCAAAAGTGCATGGAAAGGATGTTTCCAGGATGTACCAGCTGCTGTTCAGGTATCTTGTTTTTCAAAGCACAGCTTACTTGTGAACATAAAAAATGTTGGCAAGAGCTTTTTAAATGCTATCTGCAGACATTTTAAACCTTGCCATACTAGAAAATCAAAATGTATTTACCTACTGACTTTGCCTTTACCACTTGACCTAACTCGTCTCCCTGTTCAGTGTGCCAGAACAAGTCTCTTTCATAGAAACTCCTAGATTTGCCATTGCTCCCAGGGGGGAAAAATTGTATCTCATGACAATTTACTAATTAAATATATAGAGATTAACTACAGCCTATGGCCTAGCACAGAAGATGTGCTAATGTTAATGCTTAACATTAATGACAGTTCTGGTGAAGTGGGTGGGAATCCATATAGGGGCCGTGAACTTGCTGGCCACCACCACAGCGTATCAATGGGAGACTCTCACAATCTCTCACGGTGCAAGTGCTAGATAGGGCTTAGACCCTCTTCAGTCTCTCCTCAGCAGTGGCCTTTGAAAAGTTTAGGGCTGCCAGGCCTTCTGATTTTGCAATAGCCCTTCTTTGCTCAGGAGGGGGGGAAATTAAAATCTTCGGTGACATCTGCCCTGCAAAGTCACTTCCAAGTGTCATCACGTAGCTCGAGGAATTACCAGAAACTGAATGGTAAAATGGCCTGGCAACCCTAGGAAAGAGAAGTGTGCAGACAAGCTTCTGTGAATACTGACTTGTGCCTGAATGCTGCTGCTTGTCAATCAGTCTCACAATAATGGCATGTTCATCTATATATATTAAAGAAAGTCCCCTCACCGTAAAATCAATGCCCAGGCCAAACCGCTGGACCTAGAAACACCAAATTTGGGGAGAGCACTCCTACCATGACATAGGTGCTCACTAAGAAGGGATTTTGAGATATTTGACCCCTAAGGGGGGTCAAAAGGGGTAAAATGTGCTCCCCGCATTGATTCCAGTTTGGTGTAGTGGTGTGTGGTGTGTGGACTCTAATCTGGGAGAACCAGGTTTGATTCCCCACTCCTCCACTTGCACCTGGCTGGATTACCTTGGGCAAGCCGTAGTTCTGATAAGAGCTGTCCTTGAAAAAGAGCAGTTTCTGTCAGAGCTCTCTCAGCCCCACCTACCTCACAGGGTGTCTGTTGTGGGGAGGGGAAGGGAAAGGCATTTGTAAGCCGCTCTGAGACTCCTTTGGGTAGTGAAGGGTGGGGTATAAATCCAATCTCTTCTTCTTCTTCTTCCTATATGGCTGCCAGGCTGCTGCCTCCTTGCACCCCCCATTCTCTGATTGGTCTGCTGCAGAGCTCAGTGTTCTGAGGTAAAAAAACAACAACAACAGTTACCGGAGACTGCAGAGAGCTCATAACAGTTGAGGAAATCAGGAATGGCCAACAACCACCGGTGAAGTGCAGTAATGCTGCTGGCCCAGCCTCTCTGATGGCTTCATCCATGATGCCTTTAAATACAATCCCCCCGAACACCAGATAAGCCGGTGTCTGTCGTGTGTAGGAGCAGGACCAGGGTAGTTTAATCCATCAGGGACGCTGCCCCAGCAGGATCACCTTAGCGATGCTGCTGACCCGGCCTCTCTGATGGCTTCCAACACACTCCCCTCACCTCCTACACCTAACACGCAGTTGTCTGTCAGGCGCAGCAGCGGTTGCAGCTGCCTGTCAGGTGTAGGAGAGGAGCTGGGATGCTTACAGCCGCTGGGTAAGTTTGCTCAGCAGGATTGCCTTAACCCTGCTGCTGGCCCAGCCTCCGTAATGCCTTTAAATACAATCCCCCCAACACCAGACAGACTGGTGTCTGTCAGATGTAGGAGCAGGAGCAGGGTACTTTAGTCCATTAGGGATGCTGCCCAAGAAGGATCACCTTAGTGATGTAGCTGGCCCAGCCTCTCTGATGACTTCCAACAAACTCCCCTTACCTCCTACACCTAACAGGCGGTTGTCTGTTAGGTGCAGCAGTGGTTGCAGGGTGCTTAAAGCCATGAGGGCGCCGCCCCAGTGATAACATCTTAATGATCCTGACAGCTCTACCTCCACAGTGGCTTCTAATACTCCTCCCCACTCCCCCTCCTACACTGGACAGGCAGCTGCCTGTCAGGTGTAGGAGAGAAGGTGGGATGCTTACAGCCGCTGGGGACGTTTGCTCAGCAGGACTGCCTTAGCCCTGCTGTTGGCCCAGCCTCCACGATGCCTTTAAACATAATCCCCCACAACACCAGACAGGCCAGGTGTAGGAGCAGGACCAAGGTACTTTAATCCATCAGGGATGCCGCCCCAGCAGGATCACCTTAATGGTTCTGCTGGCCCAGCTTAGCCACACTCACACCCACAATGGAAATATACTCAAAATTTCCTTTATTAGTTTATTTAACTTCTCACAACGTAGGTTCTAGAAAACTGGTTCATATGAACTTGCTTAATATCTGATTGCTCAGATGGCGTTTTGAATATGTAGTTATGTCCCAGTTCTAAAATGTAACATAAATGAGAAGGATTTTTGTAAGAACAAAAACAAAACAGGGGGTATGCCCTCCCCCCAAATTCAATGTCCAGGCCAAACCCCTGCACCAAGAAACCCAAAATAAGGGGAGTGCATTCCTACCATGACGTCAATACCTCCCCCCACCTGCATGAAGAGATTTCTGAGAAACATGACCCCTGCTTCTTAAATGACGACTGCTTCTTAAATGGACAGTTCTATGTGGCCTGCTCCAGAGTGAGCTCATCAAGCAGCTTGGTGATCCTAGCACCTGAGGGCAGAGCCACTAATGTGGTCTAGAGAGAGGTCCTTCAGTAGAGGGGGGGAAAGTACGTATGTCTCACTTCATTTCTTACACTACAATCTTCTCTGTTAGAATTCCTACAACAAATGTCACATTTCGGATTTCACATCATCAGTATTTTAACTGGATTTACAGAACTTAAAAATTGTAGCAAAGCACAGGTATCAGGTTAGTTCTAAAATAAACAAGGGCAGGATGCAGCAAACTGAATGCTTAAATTAGCGTGGTTCTTTAATGTGAGCCTAGTCTTCCCAAGGAAGTAGATAGCTGATATAGTCATCTGGTGAACAAGGAAAATGTGCTCAGAAGGTGAAGTTTTGTTC